TGTTATAGCACCTGCACCTCCCATACGGGGAGCACAGCACTGCTGCATCGCCCACACTACACGATCTCGTACGTCCCGTAGTTGAGTGATAACTTGAAAGCACATTTGCCACCAGCAGTCAACTGCCACCGTCCCACACTTGTCACCTTTGCAAGGCTTCTGTGTTACCCAGAATAACAGATCTGAGGGAGAGTCACCTCCCACAAACCACCTCCATCCCCATCTGCCCCACTGCCCAGAGTTCATTTAGCTGTTCGTCATCTAAAAGGAGCCTGAACAGCTCATTTCTTAGTGAGTTCCTGGGCATGCACAGTATCCAGAGACCTTTTCTTGAGATTTTTTTACTTTCATCTGCAGTCTAGTTCCTACCTACTTTGTCCAAACCAGCCAGCCCCATTTATCAATGAAGACTTACAAATGGAGAAAGAACCTTAATGATTACCCCCTCCCAAATACTTTTGAACAAAATGAAAAAGCAAGGTAAAGACAGGATGTCACAGCATACGAACACATTATTAAATTAAAACTACAGTTTTTAAATTTTTAGTAATTTCACTAAGAGATATACATTATTTGGAATAATATCTCTCCCATAAAGGTGAAAACAGTCTGAAGTTCCATTTTCAATAAGCATTACTTGATATAGTATCATTACACAGAAAATGCACTGCCACAATGAACCTAATCAACATGGAGTTATGATAATCCAGCAGGCTGTCTGCTCTGAAAGCAGAAAAGATTTTTATTTTTTACATTATAGATCTGTTTTAAAAAAAATATTTTATATTACACAGTATGATGTTCTACTGTATCCAGAAAGTAATTTGTTTTGAAATAAAGAGTTGGGTAAAAAAAAGAACTTACTTTCTACTGAAAACCAATGAATAAATTGCTTTAATAACTAAAATTGAGAAATAATGCTAACAACATGTCTAAAGAAGGTCATACTTTGCCACAGTGATTCAATAAAATATGCTGAAGTTAACTCATGCCCTGCCTTTCATTTTGTTTACATAAACAAGTGTCTTCCAAGATACTCATGTGAAAGGGAACTGGTATCATTGCTCTTCATAAGATCTCAGATGTAACTGTTCAAATACAGAAACTGAGTCTGAAGAAGACTGAGCAGCTACACATGCATTATTACTGTTATAAATTCAACAAAGGAGGGAAATTTTTCATTAAATCTACTCCGTACAAAACAATACTCTCGGTCATTAACAAACTAATAAAGCGTGCACACAGAGACTTTGAGACTGCACTCCTCTCTGCCATCCCTTCTTTATTAAGTTATTTTTCCTCAATAAAAATTGTGTTTCATAGCCGATCAGGATGGAAGACAGCTTCATGAAAAAGGTTTAGGCTAGTTATAAGCCAGGAGAATAGCAAGCTGAAGACTTAGAGTGAAAGCATGTTTCTTCTTGGCAACATAGATGATCCCATTTGTAAGAGGTTTTTGTACATTTAAGTTACATCATAAATATATGTGTGTATAAATATAATACACATACATGTGAAATCTGTCCATGTATTTATATAGAGGAAAAGAAGTAAATTGGGGAACATAGCAATACAGATGATTGAGAATTTTCACCTGTTAAATGCTGAACACGAAGCCTTCTCTACTAGAGATAAAGAAAGCTGTTGTTAGGAAAGAAACACAAAACTCAACATCCGAATGACTGTTCCCCCAGAAACTCATAATGCCCAATATTCTAATGAAAAACAAGTTAGGAATTGCAGCAAACTTATGGGAGTTCACTTCTGTTCCAACTTCTAGAGAATTTGGCAGCATTTATAAAGATGTTAAGCTAACCCATACAGTGTAAGGTTGACAAGAAGGGAAACAAAAATTAGATGTAGCTTGTTAAAAAAAAAAAAGATATGAAAATCCAAATCACATTAAAGGAAATCCTTGAAAACTTTTATCAAATTCTTGAAAGAAAACCAAGATGGTGTATTCCATTTAAAGCTGTTTAGGCTACAATTGCAAAGCTGCTAACAAGATACGTACACTTTTGTCATTTTCATCAGTTTACAAAGAAGTTAATGGAGTTGCTTCTGATTTACATGAAGCTGACAAGAGATTTAAAGCCTTCAATTTTCATTTAGACTTCATTAAGCACCCAGACGTTCAGGAATACTTGAATGTAATTCAACTGGACCTCAGGAAAGCCTATTATTAATGATGTCAGTACTTGAAGTTGAATCAGATCTATGGAAAATAATCCCTTGTGGTATTTCAGTAGTGCCTTCTGTTGCAAACTGAAACTGGAACAAACTTCCACACACATAGAAGTATGATAAATATGATATTCAAATTTGTTTAAATTCTGAAATATTAGTCAAAATTTTGGTTAATATTTTAGGCAATTCATCTCCAGGAAAGATAAAATTTTCTCCAATATCTCTGTTGACTCTGGTTTATCTAACATAACTCAGTGACTGATGAAATCTGTTTGAGATATTTTCTGACTGACAGCCCAATGTCTTTGACAGTTCTACATCTTAGATGACATAAAACCAAAAATGGATAATTATATGAAATATTAAAATGACAGATTTAGAATATGCAGAATTCTAAAATGACTCTACTAATTCCCTTCAAACATTACCTATCTTAATTTGCTCTGTATTGCTGCATTTCATCTGAGGATCACTCAAATCGGAATTTTTCTGCTGACAAGAAAGCATTATCTGCTCTAAAGAGAGCAGAACCTTGAATAATTAAGATGAGAAACTTCTTCCACACATCACAAAGACATTGAAACAGGCATTAACATAAACTAATACCTGAAACACAGGTTACAGTTTATAAGAACAAGCAGTAATCTTCCGGAAGTTGAACGCAGTGCTGTATGGAGGGACTAAACCTAGGACGCAACATATTCAGGAGAAGAAGCAGGTATTTAAACGCCACCGCCTGCCTTTGTCATCAAAACTATGAAGTAAATCACATTACCTCTCCAAACATGGGTCTGCAATGGAAGAAACAAGTTCAAAACGGGACAGATACATGAAATAAATATGAGGTAGTTGCTTATAGCAAATTCACCAAAGCCATCCTTTAACTGGAAGAACTACTGTAATTCACAAAGAACATTTCAGAATTCAATGCATAAACAATATATAGGACTGAGTATTCTATTAAGAAGAAAGAGAGAGAGAGAGAGGGGAAGGGGAAGGGGAAGGGGAAGGGGAAGGGAAGGGAAGGGAAGGGAAGGGAAGGGAAGGGAAGGGAAGGGAAGGAAGGGAAGGGAAGGGAAGGGAGACAATTACTGCAGTTGGTGTTGAATGTGTCTTTTCCTAAGCAATGTAATGTAGTTACTGGTGATATGTGAATCTCTGGTGATAAATTAGGAAAGCAGAAAGGAGAAGTTTTTTGGTTTTTTTTTTAATTTCCTGGACAAGGTAACATGCAATCTGCAGGAGCCAAAAGTCACTATAATTAAATCTAATACACTTCTGTGTCAATGACCTAAACACAGCATGTATAATACTCCTAGATTATTAATATAGTTTGCATCCATTATGTTTCTTAGCTCCTATTCAAATACCAACTGATGAAATGATTAGTAATAGCACTTGTCGAGTTTTAACATAATGTATGAAGATGTCTTAATATGCATGACATAAAAGACAGACTAAAATAAACACTTCACGTTTTATACTTTTAATTTAATATAATACTATGTATGCAAAATATAGGGCAGTTCAGTAAATAAGGGTGATCTCCTTTAGCTGTTAGCTTTAGAAACCCTTTTAAGAACATTTGGTCTTGTTGTACTGTTGTATTTGAGGCTGAAAGCTGTTTAGTTTCTGAAAGCCAAAAATGCACGTATTATGACTTTACAGCATTCCTCTATTTTCCCCATACAATCCATTTTCTACCTTCTCAGCTTTATTTTAGGATCTTATTACAATATTCCTCTCCTCTCCCTCTGACCCTTATACCAGTTTGCACAAATAAACCAGCTCTGGTGTATGTCTTCCCTGTATTATCTTCCTCATGTCTAGAAAAGGTGCAATTGCCATTTCTTTCCTGTCCGCAACAGGTTTCTTCATTTTCTTTTTTCACGTTAAAGGTTCTATATTCACATCCTAGTAAGAGGTCCCCCTAACCCCTTGCACCAGAGTTTCCACACATCTGTCCTCCCTTTTCTCATCTCCCCATCATAAAAAGGACACATATTTAATAGCATTAATTGTTAATAACATCCAAAGAGTTCTTTATAGGACCTGTACTATCAACTAGTAATCAATGGTCAATAACAAATATTTTTCAGAATCCTGACCATCTAGAACTCTAGCCAATCTCAATGAAAATATGAAAGCTGAGCCCATCTATACAAGTCTCAGTCCTTGAAAGGACAAAAATGTTAGGCAGCAAGATGGAAGGGCTTCCGTGATGGAGGAGGAAAAAGTAATGTATATAACAGTAACAGGATGAAGATTTTCTCAGTAGAAATCAGTCTCAGGGTAAACGTGAGTTTGGTGAATAAAATGATTCCAGGTATTTGCCTGAAGCTTCCTTGCAGCTAAATTGATCAAATTCTTATTCATAGGCCCTGAAAGTTGGTGCCATGACTATGAGATATTCTTATATTTATATTAACATTTTATCTACTTACCTAAATATTTACCTAGTTATCCTATTGATTCTTAGAAACTTGTGAAGCTTCTAATACAGCTGGTTTGTTTGCAACTTCTCCTTCTAATATCTCCTGAATATTATTTGCAACCAATACTGCAGTCCTTCTCAAAACCATTCCACAAAGCATTCCAGGGAAAAAACATCTATACTTCCGCTTGTGTTGTTTTTCACGTTTAATTGTTTTCATCCTTAAGCTATAGAATCCCTAGAATACATACTTAAAATGCCTCTAATCCTTGAGATTATGTTGTGTATTCTGAACCCACAGTACGATACACAATTCAGTATGTTTTGAAAAGAAGGCTCTCTTCTACCATTTTTGTGAAAGCACAGAAATCTTACTTACAGGGTGTTTTGGATCAGTCTCAGTTGAAAAATTGCTAGGATTGCTGTTAACAATTTCAAGCTCCAGAGTTTCATGTGTAGGATTAAGGAGAGGTATGTAAAGACGAGCCCATCTGGAAAAAATACATATATGCAACAACTATTAAGTACAAAGCTTTTTCCATTGCATTTTATTATTCATCACTTGTTTTCTTTCTTGAAAAATGAGTACTTTTAAAAATAAGAATTATGTTTTATTGCATTAGTATTCTTCCACTAGTATGGACACATATTTAATAGCATTAATTAATATTACTAATAATTATTAATAACAATAAAAAGTGGTGGCAATAACCATTCTAACACTTGGGTCATTCATAAGGGCAGAATTTGTCTTGCTGTACTTCAGTTGCCAGGAAGTTAGTTTAAGTTAGTTGGTTAAAAGGACTGTCTAACTCCCTCAATACTCAACAAGGAGAAGAACATTTTCAGGGAGAATTGGCCCTAATGTAGATCACTAAGATGTGGAATCACTTTTCATTGTCTACAGGAGGAGCCTAGACTTGATGCCTTAAACTTGATGCCTAACTTTTAGATAGGAATATGTGGAAATGAATCCTAGTGTCTCTGATACCACAGCTTCACGTTTATTCCTAGGCTCCAATTTGCAGATTTATGTCTCACCTTTCTTTCCTTACTTTTTGCAGATCTAACTTTGGAATAAAACATTTTAGTCAAATAGATAATGCAGAGTGCCAAGGCCAACAAAAAAATGTGGTTCCAAAAAGTAAAATAATTTTAAGTATGTCTTATTATTCTGTGGTCTATCCATGGATTCATAGTCTGCCTCAGGAAAAGCACTGGACAGAAATTAAAGGTAATCAGATAAATGGTATCTGTAACTCCTTTCTGTCTAAGCAATGGTTTACAGGAAAAGCTTGTAATTAAGTGGTGCTGCCAATAGCTTTTGATTTAGTGCCACTAGGCAACCATTGTTCTCGATCATCCTGTAACCCTGAGATCTCAAAACAAACTTAGTGTTCCACACCAGCCATTTCAATGCAGGTTCTGCCTGCTTCCCTCCTCATTCTTCCTCTGCATGGGCTCAAAATCTGTTTCATTTTGTACAATTGTTGCATTGTTCATTATAGCATAATGGTAAATCATTATGTTGCACATGTAGATTATGTATTTTAAGGAGTATTGTGGCTGTCCCAGAACAAAGATTGGAGTATGCTGATTGCCTAAATGTTATGCTTTAAATCAGCTGGCACTCTATTTTACAGACTGTCCTTTATTTTCTAATTAACGAATAGACAAACACAAGATACCTTCAATAAGGAGCACCATTTTCAGAAGAATTTGTAAGACTCCCAAAAATCCCTCTAGTCTGATCAAAATAATGTATTTGCCTTTAACAAAGATATATGACCATAAATCACGTTCTCGTTGTAACACCAAGGGACACAGAAAAGAGATTCAAGGTGAATCAGTAAAAACATTAAATAAGAAGATGAGATACATATATTGGTTTTGCCATAATTCATCTACCTAATGGATATTCCCTCTAGTCAAAGCTGTGGCAGGTCAACTGCCAGATTGCTCCACATATTTATCCTCTGGAAAAAATTAGTCAGTTGATCATAGCTAAAGCAGTAAGGAAAAAGAAAATACAAAAAGCAACATTGAGAAGAGAAGGTATTTCAGTCAAGCTTTACAACTGTAACTTCAGGCCCTAAAACTTGTGTGCAGGTGGGCTCCTTCCAACATATGCAGTGATATAAATCCCCAGCAGCTGAGTGGCAGACTTGTTTTTGACTAACACTGTCAAAGCATTCTATCACTGAGGTCTCAACAGCAGAGAGTAGAGAAATTCCAGGACACTTTCACACAAGAACCTCAGATTCACTTGATAATTCCCATTTTTCACATTTACCATCTCTAGCCTTTACTTTTTTGTCTGGTCTCTTTCATACATAATACTTTGTCAAAGGGAAAACTATGTTGGAATATCTGAAATTTCAGTAAGTAACTATTTGACTGTTAGAGGTTCTTCAAGGGATCACATCCATTAAGAACCTCTGCCACCCCACACAGATTGACTACTGTGGTTATGCTAGAAAAAGTTGTTGTATATGACAGTAAATTCAAGTCCACTGTGAACATCATTTGACTGACTCATCTTCAATGACTTCGCTGTGGAGCCCATAACAGGATGGATAAATGAAGGTGGAGAATATCAAGGAGAAGGTTTCCTTGCTTAGAGGCGTATGCTAAAGGTTGTGTTAAATCTACCTTGACAGAAACAAAAAGCAGATCTGACTGTGATAAACCCAGAATGTTAGGGTGTATGAAGAAGGATTAAAAGATAAACTGTTAGAATTTGTTCTTTTCTCTTTCAAGAATTGGTTAGAAATTGATTCTAAGTGTATCAATGGCTTCTTGGCTCCTAATCCAGTTCCAAGTGATGTTTCAAGGACAGAAATTCTTAAATTCTTCAGATTGATAGCAAAAAGAATGTGGCAAGAACATAATGAAAAACATTATTCTTAGAAGGACATCACATATGATAATGCTTCTTCTGCATTCAAGGAAAAGGTGGTGGAATGGAAGTTAGTCTCTTAAAGAACTACAAAGCTTCACCAACCAGAAGTGCTTCAAACATTTTATGACATTTACAGTCCATGTCTCTGGGAACATAGCAAGGAAGTACACCCATTCAAAACAAAACAAATTGATACCTTTCTTAAATGGACAACACATAAATGTCTACCTGCATTGCCTTTACATATTCAGAATACATTAATGCAGCCAATTTACTTGGACTATCTCATCTTTTCAGCAGGTAGAGCAATTCTCAGTAATTTAACTATAACCTCAGTGCCATCATCGACTGCCATTGTCCAAAATTTTGCACTTCAAGAAGAGGACATTACGCTGATGATACAATAGAAATAAATTTCTGGGAAAAGGAGAGTGTTGAAGGAAATAACTGAACAAAAAGCAGGAGACTTTATGAAAAGAAGAATATGGCAGATAATGCAAACAAAAAAAAGGAAGAAGTTTGTCAGTTTTGTTATACTGTTTTATAATGTATATATAAAAAGATATATGAGACTACTGTTAATTTCCTGTTATACATTATTGTTGTTGCTGCTGTTGTTAATAATTAAACTAATAGTACTTCTCTGTTCTTCCACCACTATCTGCTGAGGGCAGATGTAGATGAGATCATTTATATATGCATAGGAATTACAACACGCATCTACTTGTAAAGTGGAAAGAAGTCTCATTTGAAAAAATAAAACATGGAATTCAATGCATTTGAGATGATAGATTTGACAGGCAAGCTTTGTAGTTAGTGGAGCTAATCCTTTCCAACATATGTTTTATTTGCAGTAGGAAGGATGACTTGCCATTCTCAGCCAGAAGACCACTTGTGCATGCAGTTCACAGGTAGTGCATGCTAGAGAAAATTACAAATGCCAGATAGTCTGAATGAAAAGCTTTTAAGTTATTTCTAACTCCTAACAGTGTCAGCCTACATAGTAGAGAAAAATTACGTTTTTCACTCCAGTCGGCCCCGAATTTTAAAGTAAAAACCGGGAAATGGACAGCCCTACTGATTTTCTTAGAAAAACATAGTAACAAAGGCATTGCCAGTTAACTCTGGTCTGTGCATCGTATACGAACAGTAGAACATATTCATTCACAAAAATTTAATCAGGCAAAATTTCGTGTTGCACTCTCTAACAACATTTTTTGTTCAGTCTGTAATGTATATTAATTATAGATTTAGTCAAAGATAAGATATACAAAAGTAAGTGGAATTTAGCTTTCAGAAGAGCAGTGTGTCCACAGAACCTGCTACTAAGCAGAGGTAATAGGTGGAAGAGTACTACTGAAATTCTGGCATTCTTGAAAGTCTTATCCTAAAAGTTTTTATTTCTGTCTTGAAAGTCAGAACTGAAAATTATCTATCGAAATGCAAGATGAAATTTTTCTGAAGGAAGACAAGAATTGGGTTCATTTCTGTCTGCTCTAAGTAGCTCATTTTCTTAACACTCGCAGTGTTCCAACCATGTCTAACCCCAGGATCTGCAGGACAGAAGTTGTATTACTTTGCCATTTCTTCAGAGGTTAAAAAAAATTGATAACTGGTGTACAAGCATCTGTAAAGCAGGTCTGTCAGATATATTCCTAGTTCAGAAAGAGAAATGAAACAGAAAATAAAAAAAACCTACAGAACTCTGTATTATGGATCTTTATGATTACATTCTGCAGTATTTTCAGAGTGATTTCTATCTAAAGACTTCAGAGGAAGTCTACATACAGGCTACAATTCCAGTTCAATTGTTTTTCTGCAAGGACAATTTCACCTATCTACACATATATCTATTAAAATTATCCGCAAAGTACTATAGTACATATACAGCACTATTCTGGCTTTTTGATGTAAACTCTTCATATGTTTTCCATGATATTTCAAACCAGTGACCAAGTTCAGCACTATGAACTACATACTTACTTTCCAAGCTCACATTCTATTTCAGGTAGACTAGTTGGCAGTGGTTTCTCCACAGTCAACTTCAGTGCATACCAAAACTCTCCAACCATATCTGACAGGAATATGACACTAAAAACAGACACATAAGCTTAATATGACACAGCTTTTGTGCAGACAATTAAAAATGTACAGATTAGAATTCAGGAAAAACCTAACGAGTTCAACACAGCGAGTTCTTTAATTACCTCCCAGTTTTCCTGTAACACTTCTTGCTGGTATCTGAATTCAACTACCAAAACTAATAATATTTACAATTACTAATGCAACAAAATCTCTTCTTCATCTTTCTTAACTTTTTAGCATAAAAAGTTGTTGGGTTTTTTTGTTCATGGGTTTTTTTTCAAAAATACAACTCAAAAGCATTTCAACTGCTAACTTACAAGAGTAAGCTTTAATTTCATTTCAATGTCACAGTATTTTCTTTCTAGCCATTTTGAACTCAAAGGACAAAGAAATAGAAATAGCATTCACTGATTTTAAAAAGGAAAATCTTTTCAAATCTAGTGATGAAAACTGAGGAATAGATATAGATACATTTACATGAGCATGACAAAGATATGCTTGAAAGAAATATTCAATATACTGTTTTGGTATATAATCAAATGTTGTCATGACTGAAAATTGCTTGCTGTTAGGTGAGATATGTACAGCAGTATATTTCTGTGACAGACATTCTAACACATTACTATCCTATTGCAGATTTCTTTTTCTATTTCTTAGTTTTTTGAGTAGCAGAGTCATAAGAACATTAAACCAAAGCACTGTAAGCATATAAAAACTTACATGAAATGCACTGCCCAAACCCGTGACCCACTAAGGACCGGTTCTTGTTCTAAATGATAGATAACTATGTCTGTTCCATGACTTTATGGTTCCAGACTATCCTCTGTGCCAACAGAGCCTTTAAAGTGAGCATAAAATAGCTTAGGAAAGAATCATCCATTTGAAAAGGTACACCTGCCATAAACAGTTTTATAACACTTCTTCCCAGCTGCTACCATAGCAAAGGAAACAGAGCATGACTTCAGAAAAAAAAGATAATAGTGTGGATGTAACGTGGAAGTACCTCTGTCCAGCTGTAATTGTAGTCCTTGGGAGCTATTGCAATTTAAAGCAACTATCAGACAGCTTTCTAGTACAGTACTGCATAATTGTATTGAATATGTACAGGCGTGCTTTATGTCATCTTTGCATATATTCCCCTAAGTCCCGGCTTACCAATTAGCTGAGCCCAAAGTTTTGCCAGTTAAAACAAACCTTTATTTTATTATTTGGAAATTCTGCACTTGAAAAACACCAGAAATATTATCTGGTATGCAAAAATGAGGTCTATTCTCATTCGCAGCTTCAGAATGCATAATTTCTACAAATTCCCACAGAAAAAAATATTTACTAGAGTGATAACAGTATTCATTTTTATAAAACAGTATTGCTTGAAAGCTGTATTGTACAATGATACCTGCCATTGTTCTGGTCTTTGGAAAAATCAGTACAAGCAAACCGAACGAAATTTTGAAATACATGGATTTTGGCTTTGTAAATATTTGGTCTTTGAACACAGGTCATCTGTCTCTGCCCTCCTCATAAACCACCATCCCACCTTCCTCCCCATCCCTGTATTTTTGCCAGTCAATTGATATCATTGAAAGACAGGGAACTGTTTTTCAATCAGCCCTTCAACTAAATAATGCTTTGCTAATCAAATTCCAGGAAAATAAGCTTTGCAGTTCTGCACTTTTCAGTTACTTGCTGAACTGGCTTAGCTGAAACTAAGACCAAGAGGTCATCTGTCTTTGTATTGCTAATTATCATACAAGCATGGCTGCCTTGGGATTTCCAAAGTAATGAAAAATTTGTAATTTAAAACCTCTCCGTATTCATTTAGTAGATCATTGTTAATTAATGGAAGATTCAGAAGCTAAATGGATTTATGTGAAGACTGTTAAAGGGTTCTTCACCTGGGTTTAGTTATGTTGTTATAGTTTCATTCCTTCTCAGAAGAAAAATGAAATCATGTTATTCCCTTTACGGAACTTACAAATTTACAAAACTAACAATTCATCTGAAGTTTTCAGAGGGGACTTCTAATATTAGGTAAATTTCTAAAACATCGTTCACTGAATTCTAGTGAACTAGAATAACTAGGGGTTATTCTACTGCCTGTCAGTCAGGTTTTTCCCCTCAGAGGAAAGCTGCTATTTGGGATACAATATATTTAAAGTTGGAATTTTTTTAAATTCCATTTATTACACGTTGTGGGTTTTTTTTAGGGTGATATCTACATCAAGTGACTGAGGTTTCAATGAAAGTAGTTCACTTATTAGTACAAGAGCCACAACCACAAGTATCAAAACTCTGCAACTTACCTTCCATCTGAAGTGCCAACAACAGCTGGGGAAAACTTTAGTTGATACAAAAATGTTTGTTTGGGCCTAAGAGTGAAAGCCGTTTGTCCACAAAGTGACTGATTCTCCAGCACCACACTCAGCTGGAGAATTTTATCTGCAGGATTAGTGATGGGAATATGAATTCCAATAGTATCCTAGAAAAAAACCACAAAACGAATTATGAGCCATTACACATAAAAGATCTTTCTCAAACAAGTGTAAGATGATTACTCATGATTTACACTTATGCAAACACAGGCTGCACCTTTGTTTGATGTGTGAACTAACCTAAAAAAGAGAAGTTGCAGCAAGAGACATTTCAGCCAATCTTCAAATTGTAAACTCTTTAATCCCATAAATAAGGAAAAGTTCAAGTCTTCCTGGCCAGTCTGCATTCTAACAAGCTGCTTCACCTTCCAAGATATGGCTGAGGCTTGCCAAAATACACCTTACAGGCAGATCTGCTGTAGTCCCAACCAGGTAAACCCTCCAAGCCATCTCCCAATAGCCATGCACAGACAGTTGAAAATGTCCACTTTGCAAACTGGCAAATGATTTAGGCTGAATTCTGCAGGATCTGTTCCTCTTAATTTTTAACTTACATCATAATACTTGACATTAAAACAACACCACCTCAATAAAAATTCCCTCTCTCGTTCCTTTTTGCCATTTCTCTTACTAGTGGTCTCCATATCTTTCTGTTTAAAGTCTATGAACACTTCAGGCAAGGACCATTTTCTCTTGACCATCTGGAAAACATAGCTACTATTAAAGACGCATATTAAATTCCAGTTACTATAATAAAAGGGAGCCAACCTATGGCCTGATTAGAGAAATATGCATACTTTACACATGGAACACCTTTGAGATGAGCAGGAATTGGGCACAGGCACCTCACTCTGCACAGCTCCTACATTGCGTTCTTGAGCAGCCCTTGAAACACTGCTATATTTCAGCAGTGTTCCAGTGACCCCCTTCTTCACTGTAAGGTTAAAAATAGTGTAAATCCATCCTACGTACCCTATGTGTGTAAATATCAATACACTATGAAACGAAAGACTTTAAACAGACAGGAAGGAATATATTAATGAAGTCCACCATCACAGTTCAAGATGCATACCTGCAGTTTAAAATACATATGTTCCATTCATATATGTCCATCTATATAAAATATGCAAAATCCAAAACCAAGTGTATGTATTTATTTCTCTGTATCTATATTTATCTCTATCCCTATTTTGGTCTCTTTCCTTTGCTCTAACCAAGCAGTTTATTTCAAAATGCAGGGTTTTTTTTTAACATATGGTGGTTTTGTTCTCACAGCAAAATTTTGCCATATACTTTTTTGTGAAAAGTAAATAATTCAAATTGCAATATGAAAGGAGAAAAAGATAAAATATCTATTAAAATTAATAATACACTAAAAACTGAACATGAAATACTTTACAACCCCACACACAGCTGCCTCACTCTGGTTTGAGCCTGCCTATGATTTGGTAAATTTCTATATATTTATATTTATAGAAAATGACTACTGGAACACACATAAAACACATTTAATGTTCTACAGATGGCAAGATTACACCAACAATTTAAATCATTCAAGTGCCTTGCATCAGTAAGATGGGATTTAAATTTGCCATAAAATATTTTAAAGCTCAGATTAATAGTTTTTACCAGTGTAAACAAATTTCTAAATCTATATACCATTTTATTGCTAAAGGCTTCATAACAATTTTATAGTAAAACATCTACATGCTGTGTTGAAGAAATACTTTTACAATCAAAGGAAATATTGGACTGCTTATTTAGGAAAAAAGCTGCAACTATCAAAGAAACCTTTGTCACCCTGTACACAAAGGAGATTTTATATTGCCAACATTAGCTTAATGTAAAAGAGTGTTCTCTTGCCAGTATAAAATTAATACCTAGGATTATGTATTTCCCTGGAATTTCCCAGGAATTTTCCCTGGAATTGCTGTAAACATTTCAAAGATCTGCTACTTCATAGATGGTAACAAGAGCAGATGTATATTTATCAACAGAATGTATATATATTGTACATTTCTAGGCCTTAATGGATTGTTATGGAGACATAGTACTAGGATAAATAACAAAATGCCCATGCAATTGCTAAGAGTATTATTTTTCCTGAAAGTACCATTTTATCAGAAAGAATGCAAAGGAGTAACATCATAGGCAAGTTCTAAACACATTTATAGTCATTAATTTAGATCCACATTTCAGTGTTGGTTTTTTATAAACATTTTGACAGGGGAAGAATGTAAAAGTTGAAAAAAGAAGAGAATTAATCTCATTCCTCAAACTGCTTCTTGTATCAAGACTGCCAGTGCCCAAGATATAGCCATTCTGGTGCAATATGTCATGTTTTTATTCCTTTAGAACTTGCTATGATCCACTTCTTGTCCAGTGGATGTCATTTAAAATAATCTAACATAAGGTAAAATAAAATAAAATGAAATGTAAATATGATATAACATTTATTCTCTGTGGAACTTGAAAAAACAATTGACTGCTTACACTTTATCCTACGCTAATAGCCTGAGCCTATGTATAGGTGTACTACTCTGTTATCAAGATTTTGCTTCAAAAGATGGTCACCATCATCAATTGATCTTTTGTGATATTATACCTTGAAATTTTTATTTACTGAAATATTTTCCTGACATATTTTATACCAACAATTTTCTCACCATCCCATTCTCTACATCCTTCTTTTAGCAACTGGACCTAAAGGATTTAAGTCCATAATATGTAATTTTACATTTTATTAATGTATACACTGCACTGAACGATCAACTAATCCTCCTCTAACTTCAACAAGGTAGGTTATAGGAAGATGGACACATTCTAAAATTACTGTGCATAACACTCCTCTGTGTTCAAACTTCAGTAATAATCCTATTTTAACCATCATCAGGTGTCAATGAAAGCGCTATCTGGCCAAAGTTTCTAAAAGACTAACTACACTTCTTAATGCTTTACAACAATTGTTTTCAATTAAAATCCAGTTTCATTAAGGAAATGACATTCACTCCGCATTTGTTTGCAGCTTTTACAGTCCATGGACCTTGAGGAGAAAGCATTTGTACTTGCTCCCGAGTTTGCCAGGCTATTGCTATAGAAGCAAATTTTCAAGTCACGTAAGTGGTAAGAAAGTTATTTTGATAGGCCTGGTGAAATAACACAGCAGAAATTCTTCCCTTTGTAGGTTCTTGTCCAAATCATAGTTCTTCTAGGCTGACAAGTAACAAGTGCCTTCTTTCTCTGTGCTGCACCTCATGACAAGCAGGAATGTTGCTTACTCAGATTGAACTTGCAATGGTGGCAATATTCTTAAAAAAATAGATCTTGGCCTTCTATCTTCCGTAGGCTCAAAATGATCAGGCTTTCAACGTCACCATCAGTGTGTTTATATGTCAGTAGTAGTTAAGCTAGAGTCTTCTGTTGTATCCTCATTATTTTTCACTTCCGCTTCTTGGAACAAAAGAGGCTCGAGTGAGGTGGTCAGCAGAGTTGATGACAGAATTTCAGGGCCATGCTGAACATAGTTCAGCCCAGTTTGGTCAAATTAGTTTTAGAAATCAGAGCCAGCTCTTGAACTGCTTGATGCAACGTGCCTCCAACACACACCTTACCTCACCACTTCTCCTCTCCACACACACTTCTAATCCAGACCCACATGTCCACACTCAGCTGGGCCTTTCTCGCATTGATCATTCAGACACATGGAAGTCCTAACCTCCTATGTCTTGAGGGGGTGAGTCCTTCCAGCTTCCTAGTCACTCATAAGTTAATGGAGCAGATCTTTGTGAAGTGAACCACCTCCCTCTCACCGTACAAGCTCTTTTTTTTTTTTCCCTCTCTGTGATGTAAACTAATTGCCACGATAACCCTCTCCTTTCCATGTAGGGTTATGATGACAGAGAATCACAGAATTGCCATTATCTTGATACTGTATTTTCCCATTTTACTTGGCATATTTTGCCTTACAAAATATCAGCTTGCAAAAAGGCACCAACTGTTCATCAACTGTTAAGTCTTTATCAGAACAGCAAATTGAACTACTCAAAACCTAGGACTAAACACTTTAAGCAAATTATATATTTGTAAAACTTGCTTAGTAAGGAATCCATTCTTATCACTATTACAGTACAAGAAACTAACTAGAAGAAAAAAATGTGCACAGGACATTTAATATCAGAGGCTAATAGTGCAATGAGCTTCAGGTGTAAATTTACATATAAATTTACATATAAAAATCGCACTGAATTGAATTTCTTTTAGCTGAAATGTGCATTAGTGCCTAAGTAATAATGCCCTAAGACAGAACACAGAGATGATTAGTTCATAAGTTATTACAATAATTCTAAGCTCACCGACTAAAAACTACACTGTTAACCTCCTAATAGGGACTAGATATTGTACCAAGCAAACAAACTGGTAAAACAATGTTTTGCAATAGAAGATTGCTAAAAATGTCTTTCTGAAATTGAAGGAAAGGAGGGGACTGCAAAAGCATTATATTCTGTGACTGAAGCTATCTATGATGTCCTCAGCTCCACCAAAAGAAATCATGCACAGAGAAACCCACACCAAAGTGATATTACAATAATTTGTAACACATATAGGAAAAGCTAATGAACTAAATAATATGCACCTATTTGAACTTCCATGCACCCCAGTTTTGTCCATCCGTATAATGTTTCTGGTTTGGTATAGATAGATAGATAGAAGAAGTTGTAGCAAAGACAAGTTGAATTACAAAAGAAATGCTATATTAAGATAATTATAAAAACCATACCTGACAAGTGGATACAGACTGACTCAAAGTCAAGTTAATATGCCAAATTCTCATAACTGAGAAGTAAGAACTATGCTTACATCTTAATGAATATTCCTTTGCATTTGAAATCAAGGCCACCTCTGAGTCCACGTAGACCGAAGCTCAATAATTCTACATCCTCCTGAGACCACAGGCAGATTTCCTTTTCAGATCCAGCAGTGTGCAATGAAGAAATTACCAATTACAGCTACTTTTTGCCAGCCTCTGTACTGAAGGTTGGCACTTCCAGTGATTAGCTCAGTTGCCTAAGCCACCGTGTACAGTAACCTGGCTTATCAAAGCTGAATC